TGCGTTGGCTTCTTTTGTGAGAAACAGTGGAATTAAAATGAGAGCATCTGGATCAATAGAGTAATTGAGGCAGCGCTGAGAGGAGACTGTGTGTCAAGTATTGGCCCTGCTTATTAACATGCCTATTGACTGGAGACAGAGCAGCACCGCCACACAGGAAAACTAAAAAGACCGATCCTTAACCCTGGAGTCAAGGTAAGCTATAACAGTTGGCATCCTTTTGGAAAACCTCCACTCGTCCAATAGAGCATTTCACTGATCCGCTATACACGGGCCCATTCTCCTCTGTACAGCTCATTACAGTGTCAACTTGTGGCTCATTAGCACTACTGGTCCTTTGGGGAGTGCACGACTTGGCAGGAGAGGTGAACTGACGCAGTACAAAATCATGCACTACTGGGAGTACACTTCACAGTATAAATGCATTGTAGTAGTCAAGCATGGTATTATTGTCCCAGATTCACAAGGAAGGTGAAGAGGCAGAAATGTACTAATAAAATGACTACTGTTGCTGGGAAGAATACTTTGAAAATAGAATGAATACCTGCATTAACATGTATTTTGTAATGTATTCTATTACATGGTCCAATCAAAGTACTGTATTTCAAATACCTTTTACATTGGGTTACATTTAAATGATAGGGTAAACACGCAACATAGGATTAAAAACAGCTTTATGTTTGTTACACCATTTGTTGTGCATTTCCTCTCACTGGAGAAGTTAAAAGCACATATCCACAGACCATAAGAGCTCTGGTTTCTATTTTCCTCACTGATAATATGCAGTTTGAAGGCTAAATTGTGTAATCAAGCACCACCAAGAAGGTAACTATACTTGAACTATATTTGAATACTACCAAATGAAAAAAACGATTGTACCAGAATAAAGTTACTCAAAATTAGTATTCTGAATATGCATTCTTGGCACATATATTCAGTTACTTCCCAGCATTGCTGGTATTGAAGTTGCACTATGTATCTTTGCCAGTGAGAGGATTCGCCACAATGGAGATGTTAATGCTTTGCCTGGAAAGTTTCTCAGTGGTATTAAACTTATCTTCCATGCATTTATTCAAGGATGTGTGCTTTTATTGCTCAAAAGTATCTGTGGGGTCACCTCTCCACGGGCCTGACCTGTAACATGGCCTGATGGCGTCTTCTCCATGTCTACATGGACTTAGAAATTTTAATGCCATACAATAAAATATTCCAGGAAAGTCTATGCAATCTCCATGGAAACAAGTAGGTGGGTGCCCAGTGTCAGAAAAGTTATAAAGTGCTTGTTTAATTGTTTCTTTGTATATAGTTGAACAACTCAAAATGCAACTGTCTGATATTCCTAATCACAAAAATTTGTAGTATTTTTTCTAGTGTCGCTATTGTGAAGACACAAAAAGTGAAATATAAGGGCTTACTTTAGCATTGTCTGTTTTTTTTAACATTGTAAGATAGGAGTATATGCCTTGGTTGGTATTTAATATGGTAGAACATAAAATTTGTTAAAATTCTTTGGCTGCAATACACTATTCAGTAGACGCTGTATTGTTGTATTATATTATTTTTAAATGTAAAATTATTTCACAATATATTTATTCTTTCATATAATGCCTAGGTTGACCACAGACGACACCTCTCCGAAATGAACCCTGACCAAGAATGGAATTGGACAGGAAAAAAGGTCCTTAAAAGGCTGCCCTCTGAATCCTCCCTATAATGGCCTGCAGGATAGTCATTTAAATCTATCAGAGGAGGCAAAGGCACAAGGAATTGGAATGGGGCACATCTGGGCACTTTTCCCTTGAAATGAATCCTCGCCGTAATACATTCTTTTGGAGGAAATGTATAGAAAATGGCCTGGGAGAGAGAGAGACTGGCAAAGTAATGTTAAAGTGAGGAGGTCCTGGAGTCACCGGGGCAGGTAGATCAGGAAGCAGAAGAGACACACACATCACAGCAGGACAGATGGCCTGGGAAGAGCTGATAGCTAGCTAACCCATCGGATTTATTTGATCAAATAAATAAAAAAACTCCAAAACAGATTTTAAGCGCTTTAATGCCACGGCCCAGTTCTAGAAAACCTCCATCTGTCCTCTACTAAAACCTTATTTCAAATCGACAGTGGAGGGAGGGGAAAGGATTTAGGGGAAGAAATTAGACACTCGCACTGTCAGTCACAAGTCTGGTTTCAAGATTGCTTCAAAAATGTGTGGAAGCCAAAATGGTGCATAGCTTTCAAGTAATTTGCTAGAAGAAAATTAATTGAAAATATTTGGGAATAAAAAGTTATTTTAGAATATGATGATGTGATACTAACCGATGGGGGGCAAGAGCCAGATTTTCCTGTTAGTTACATTGTATTTTGCCATAAAATATCCAAAAGTAAACTTACAAATCTAACAGTGACTAGAGCCAAGAACTCAATGTATTAGAAACAAACAGCATCATAGCAATATTAATTTTACCTGCCCCCAATCTGTATTAAATAATATGGCCCATTAAAATGTTGTGATGTCTTCTGAATCCAGTGATAGTTGCAATAGATTACAGATTTAGCAGCCATTGTCAGCTACTATTTTGGTCAGACATGCCTATGATTAGAATGATTAGTATGATTAGTCTACTGTGCATGTTTTAGTACTTCATTCAAATTATCAAGGCAACAAATTAACATTTGAAAATGACTTCCTAGGCCTGCAGAATAGTCACTGCAATAACTGAATGTTATAATATTTATTGCTAATTCTGCACAGCTCTGAACTTCTTGAGCGATTTCACCAATGAGTGGTAATGCGTCCAGAATCAGCAGATGGGCCGCCACATTAAATGTTGGTGGCAGTAAATTCTCACAATACATATTTTACTTTACTGTCTCAAGCTGCCACAGAGCACAGAAAGGCGTACTGACGAAAATCCCCAAAAGGTCCCACTCATTTATCACTTGGCGCCCGTTGATATATTTTTTTTAAATGTTGATGATTCACTAGTGGAAGAGACAGAAAATATCCAGCATTATGTTTTATATGACACAAGTGCGTATTATTAGTCACCGTGTCTGCCCTTGAGAGCTTTCCTTTGCCTAATTTCCCCTCTCCTTCACTCTAAAACTGCTGGCCTGTCTACTGTAATGATGACTCCGTTCTATTACAGAGGCTGGCTGCCAAAACAAGTACATGTTCTTCAAGCGTCATGTCCCTCCCACAGCTCCACAGCTCCTCGAGTGTGGAGAACAAGCCTTTTCTCTGGGTTAATGCTTTGCACAGTCAGAATATCACAGAATGTCAAGATGACTAACAGTGTATGCTAAGGCTTTTGGACTATAAAGATAACTTTTCTTTTACTAAAACTACTAGAAATCTTTCTAAGAGTATGGCCTTCAATACAGTAATATTATACTGTAGCATTATGTTACTGCTGCATGTAACTATGTATCTTATGTAACTCGCACTATTAATGGTTTAAAGATTTCACTACAATCACCTGGGTTGCTTTATAGGTGCATTATGTAGCTTTTCTGGTGGAGGGTCGGCCACCTGCTTGCATCCATGGAAATCTTATTGCTTTGTATAGAATGTTCAACTGTATAGATTAAACCTATCTATCACAAGGGAGACAAGCAGGTTACAGCACAAGCACATTAGAATTCAGATCTGTGGAGAGTTTCCCCTATTCACAGAATACTAGAGTATTTCTGAGCAATAGAAACACCCTTAATGAATAAATGCTAGATGCATATGTTTAATGTCAAATCACGAAACATTCTTTGGAAAGCAATAACGTCTCCATGGAAACAAGCAGACAGCAGACCCACCATCAGGAAAATTGCACAGTGCAGATATATGGCACATTTGCTATTCAATTAAAATTGTAATGTGAATGGTTACAAAATGCCCAATCTTAATTGCTGATGTCACGGGAACATAGATACTTAATATTTAGTAACTATTTAATACACTACCTAATAATACATATTGCCTCTCACTTTGTTTTAGTTTCAAAACAATATGGGACTAGGTCAGAATAAGGTGCCATGTAAGGACTTTTCTGTGAGAAGGTGAACCACTTGAAACTGCGAGGGACATCAAACGAGGAAATGGCTCTTGTTGCATAATAACATGAGCTTTATATCGCTGGTTGAGATCTTACGCCTTTCATCAATTCCTCGACCTGAAAACTTGAGTGCAACGCTGCTTCAAATGCTACTGATGAGAAGCTCTGATTGACTGCAGTCCACTGACAGTTTATGTATTGGACAGAAACAAGCTCCTCTGTCATTTGTATAGCACCATCTGGTCTCTCCACATGGCTTTGTATTCATCAGATTGATAAAAAAGTGAATTGGTGTAGTTTTATTTCCTTTTACTAAATGGGAAGTAAATAACAAACATCTGTGCGAAAGGGAGCATCTAGAAAGGCTTTTGGTTAAAAGTGGTTAGAGATATTCTTAAGTTTCTCAAAGCGAGCACCCAGAGAAAAATACACTCTCAAATATATACTCTGTCAAGACTTATCTTAGCCCTCCAGAGGCAGCAAGACAAAGCTTGCACATTTTGAAAGTCTCCAATGCTAAATGAGGCGTTTGAGGAATCGCAAAGGCAGAGGAACACACATACCAGCGCACACAAAACCTGACAGTTACGTTTTATAACCTTTTTGTTAAAGGACTGGATGGGTAAGCAGTCAGCCTGCAAATGTCCTCTGTCCACCCACCTGGATTACTGTATATGAAAATGAAACTACGCATCTAATATTTTCTTTTTCAAAATGTTGACTGTCTGTAGAGGTTACAACTGTCATTTTGAGTTATTTAAAGCATTTTGTGTGAACAACAGCCACAGTCCTTGAATCCTCTATAGCTCCTTCTTGTATGTAAGAGGTCTGAAGCCTATTTGAGCTAGAGCTTGGTTCATGATACATAAGAGGCCATATGAAAGCTTGCATCTTAGAACTCTTAAATGGGACTCTCATTTGGTCCATAGTTGACTTAAGACTTTTGGTCTCACCTGCACCTCGATGCCATAGCCCAAGTAGACAGTCACAAAGTAGTTGCACTCCACTCCGGGGTCAAGCGTCTGCCGGATTTCGATATTACCCTCGGGGTCAGTGAAATTCATACTGCATGCTTCTGTAGGAGACAGTAAAGATATGAGTTATTCCCTTTTTCCCGGACCACTGATCTTTCTGACAGCCCACCTGTGCCTGTGTGGACGTCTAACCCTCTAACTATCTGTGCACATTCCCTCTGTGACGCAGCTCGGCTGGGGCCTGCAGCTCTCCACGGCCCAGCGGAGAGGGCGCCAGGACGGACCGGGGAAAATGTGATTGTTTTTGACACATGGGCAGCTCTGTTATCCCGAGTGGAGGGATGAATAGTTGGTCTGCACCAGCCGAAATGAACACAAGTCCAACAGTGACCTGCTTTTTCATGTTAGGGCCTCCTGGGGATTGAAGAGGGGAAGTTTTTGACGGGCTCAGTTTTGGTTAAAAAAAAATAACAGGTGCTGAAATAAAATGAAAAAGTCTGGAACAACACAAATATAGTTCAATTTTGACATATTCATGTGCATAACATCAGGCAGTGCAGCTGCATGTGGGACTATAAAAGTTTAGGGGGCACCTGTGTGTAAATTTAGAATTGTGATATTGTTGGTCCACCATAGTGAAGTATATTGAGCTGTGTGCGCATGATGTAAAGTGTTATTTAATGTATTTTATTATATTCATTTCACTGGACCAAAATAAACTGTGGTTAATTTTATGAAGCCAACTAACCCACAAACAGCACACTAACATTTTAACTGAGATCATTCTGAAGCATAAATCATAATGCTTTTATCCAAATAATACACACTCAATCCAACTCCCTGTTCTAAACCTCAGTGAAGTCAAATTGGACTGCTCTATCTTTGAAAATGAGATGAAAAGCCTTGTGCTTACCAGATGTTTGCATGGTGGTGATAGTGGTGGCTGTGGACTTCACAAGGCCACTTCCAAAGCTGGGCTCTGCAGTGAAATTGTCAGTGCTGCTTTTATTTTTATTCTCTCTCCCTTCTGCTTTTTCCATCCTTGTTGACGATGATGTGGGCCTAGCTTCTGGACTATTTCTTTGTGGATTGTTTTTATTGTTATTACTATGAGTAGTTACTGTTGTTAGAGCATCTGTAGTTGGGACTACATTGCTTGCCCTGTCTGCAGTAGCTTTATTTTCACGTAGAGCTAAAGGTGGTCTGGGGGTGGAAGGCGTAAAAGTTGTTAGGGACGATGTTGCTGCTGGGGTGGCTCTTGTGGCAATGTCCGAAAAGGGTGGAGCATCTTCGTGGGGTACAAGCTGGGTAGCAGAGTCATGCATATCTGCCGCATGCAAGACGCTCGGCATTGTGGGATAAGCCGCTACAGAGCCATCCCTCCTGAAGTAATGCTGGTCCCCCTGGAAGTCTCTGGTGAGCAGGTGTTCGTGGAGAAGCAGGCCCCTCAGGACAGGCTGGTGATTGGGGATGTGTCCCGGGGGTGCTGTGGTGACCGGGTGCACCTCGCTCTCTCTCTCCTCTGTGGGTGTGTGTGTGAAGACGTCCCTGTGAGCCTCTGGTGTTCTCCTCTCAACACCTGTAAGTGCAGACACAATACAGTTCAGTCAGGATTTATGTACATGTTGGTAAATGTAGATTTTTTTGATCCACAAGAGAAAAGTTTGGACACAATAGCTCACATATCACTGTAAATATAATATCAAAGAGCAAAAATATGAACGATAATAATAAATTCAAAGATAAGTAGCAAAATTAGCAAGACTGATGTCAAATAAGGCATAAGTATTGTCTGTACAAGAAAAAAATTAAATACAGAAATATACAAGATATATCTCAGCTATATACACGAGATAACAAGAGGTTGGTGATATTATTTTTTTATTTCCATCATTATCCAAAAAAGTAAAACACCTATGACACATTTGGGTTAAAGATGCACTGTGTAGTTTTTCTGGTGATTCACCACCTGCTTGTCTCATGGAGATGTTATTGCTTTGCCTGGAATGTTACACTGCCTGTCCAATCTATGGCCCCGGGGCCAAATGCGGCCCTCAGACCAATTTTTGCTGGTTTGTCTCTTCCAGCTAAATTGGACCAATTGATCTTAAGTTTTTTTTGGGGGGCAAATTGAAGTATAGACCTAAAGTAGCTGTTCCTTATTATAGGCACAGTGGTTATGTTATGCCTGTCAAAGCTCTGTTAAATGCCTTAATCTGATCATCTTCATCTGATCACCTCAAATATGTTTCAATATGTGACAAAAAAGTATGGACACCCTTGCTGTATGGCATTGTAATCTTCATAGAGATGAATAAGTGTCACAGCAAAGTTGCTGGTCAGATCTGTGGAGAGGTGACCTGGTTCATAGAAAGAATGCATGTTTATGAGCACACGTAACTGAATAAGGCAAGGAAAATTTATTTGTATAGCACAAGTCGTACAGAAAGTAATTCAAAGTGCTTTACAAATGTTAGTCCAATGAGATTCATTTCATGCTAGTGAGCAGTCGAAACTGTCAGGTATGAAATAACACTCTAGGTCTGAAAAAAAGAACCTAATAACATGCTTTACAAATGTATTATGTATTATTATGTATTTATAAATGTATTAAATGCCAAATAGATATATTTAATGTCATAGCATGAAACATTACAGGCAAAGAAATATTCAAGCAGGTAGTGAACCCACTCGAAAAATGACATTGCAAAAGTGTCAGTTGCAGAAAATTTCATGTGGGAGAATAATTTTAGGAACTACCTGACTCAGCATAAAATTTTCTTATTGTTATATTGTGTGCTTCAAATTCATAGCACATACTTTTGATTGCTTATTTCCATGTAGCCTGTACTGCTGCCTGACATCACTCAGCATGGCAACACTATTCCAAGGTCACTTTATGATGTGGGTGTCTGTCTATATACAGCATGCACATCACTTGGTTTAAAAACTGTTTTTACAACAACAACTAATATTTAGACACCACAGGTATCTATTATTTTTCAGAGGCCATTTACAGTCTGTTATAATAGAGAGAAAAATCAGAAACCAAATCTAACAAACCGAAAATCACATCTGTTGGACAATCTAGTCTGACAAAGAAAACCATTTGCAAACAAGTGATAATAAGCTGCACTTTTTCATCAACATCAATTCTACTTTTGAAAATAATATTTGCAAACACAATCTCAGCAATTGTCTAAACCTCACTCTCTCCCACCTGTCAATTTCACAAAACTCAGTCAAGTCAAAGATATTTGGAATTGGCTCGCCTCCAACAATTCTCTGAAGTCGCATTTCAAAAACATGTTACTATAATTGAGACATCATCCATTGGAGTACAGGAGATACAAGATTGGTTAGAGTGGAGTGGTTAGATCTTATAGTCAGATCAGATTCACTTTTGCTTATTTCCGTATACATCAGACAGACAGATCAGTTAAAATATTTTTACAACTTTGGCATGCAACATTTGAGATAATTAAAAAATGAAATCTATCTCTGAATTTTAGCAGAAACTTACCAACCAGTAAGTTTTAAAGAATAACACAAAGCACAAGACTCAAGTGCAGTGCGTCTTTTTGACAGTTTCATTATAGAATCATCAAGTATGGCCACAGATAATCTACAGGAACGATGTTTAATGAGGTGAGAGGCTGGGCTCCTGCATAATTTCCCCTCACATCTATTGTTGCTATTTTAATAGGCTCACTTGTGACTGTGGTAGCGATGTTAGCGTCTTTGGGGAAGGTAGAACATCTGGTACAAGGAGAGGCGCTTTAGCAAGTAACTAACTATGGGTTGTCATTTTCAGGGCAAAGGAAATGCATTGATACTTTGCAGCTGATGTCATCAATATCCTTCAGGGGTGTGATGCTAACTAAATGCACTACTCTGTCTGAAGCTCTGTTACTTAAATTAGACTTAATCTCATCACCTTAATAGGACCATGGACACTCATATTGATCACAGGCTCATAAAAACTGGTTGTTTAAATCTATTTTGTGTTTTCAGATCTTAAAACTTTTTTTTTAACTGCTATAAGCATCTCTAATGGCGTAATGTTGAGAGCACTGTGTCTCTGCAAAGTGTCAAACTATAGGTACTTATATCTCAAAAACAACTACAACAACAACAACAACAGCAAAAAAGCATATTATCTCAACAAACATATTCTGATCCGGAGTCTGATTATCCAACATAATGTTCACAATGTATTTTAAGGGCGCAGTCCAGGGCCCATTAGGAGTGACAGTAGCAGGGGATGTGCTTGTGGACTGGAGCTGGTTGCGAAGGCTTGCAGAACGCCAATTTTATTATCAAAGACTATTTCACAATCACATACTGCAGGCAGAATAACACCAGTGCAACAACACTGTAGGATGAAGTGGTGTAAAGGGGCTTTTCATGTTTGCACGTATATTGAAAATGTGTGAGCTATGCATAACACCTAAAGGAAGAAGCATTCAAACACGCAGGGACCAACTTGTGGCAAGACTGTACTGTAGAGGTGGCCAATATTGACATTTTGCAGCTGATGTCATGCTAACTGTAGACACTGCTATGTCTGAAGCTCTGTTACTCCTGTTAGACTTTAATCTGGGTTTGTTTCAACACAATCTGACGAGAAAGAACTGATTTTACTGGAACTACAACAGGTGAGCAGTTCTTACACTTCAAATTACAATCACAAGCTAGCTAGCATTAGCCAACAGTTTATCAGTTCTCTTCTCACCTTTTTGTTGAAAGACTCCTAAACAAGTCCATGGACGCTTTTTACCAGTCACAGGCTGCTGAAAATGTGTTGTTTAATCCATTTTGTATTTTTTTATTGAGTTTCCACACTATTTTAAATACTTTTGTCTGCATTGTGTACATTCCACCATAGACAGATACATACACCCCCAGTATGACGTCCCTGCAAAGTATCAATTGACAAAAATGAAACTTGTACAGATTCGATACTGGTATCAGTATTTTTAGAGCATCGGCTTGTATCAATTGGGTGAATAGCCTAGATCGGGTCGATACCGCGCACAGAGCCCTCTGCACGCCACTGTCGCTGCTAACGCTGCAGCTAATGCTTATGAGGAGGCTTTAAAGACGCTAAAAACATGATTAATGACAGAGATAGTATTTGTTGTACCTTTCCGATGTCTTTACGGAGACTTGAAAGTGAAAACCAAACTTTAGGTAAATCGGAGGAGCAGAGCCAAATGCGCCAATTTGTTTACATAATGTGCCCATGTGCTTCAGCAGGCTTCTCGTCTTTTTACAGGCCTCAAACATGGCTAAAATAATATGTAGAAAAACTTTAGAAAGAGTGAGATAAAACGTCACCTAATGCCTCTACCACTATGTCCTGAGGCTGTTGCACTGTTATAATATTGTAAAATATATTTTTAAATAGGCCTTTTTACATTGGGTAATAATTTTGGCGAAATTCACTATGGAACGCTTCATTGTTTATAAAGATACACCGTAAATTGTGTAAATGAAATAATTTAAAATGAGAAGATCAGTAGACTATCGGATCGGGACCCCAAAAAACTGGATCAGGACATCCCTATTGAGCAGTAGTTAGCCAGTTATTGGATAATATCGGGTATCGGCAAATCCCTAAGGCTCTGGTATCAGATCGGGACTGTAAAAGTTGCATCAACTATCGAAAGGAAAGATCTCTTTTGGTTGTTCAGATAATTATAATTAGATTGCATATAAATCTGTTGTTGAGGTTCACATATCACCAAAAAATGAATAAACTAAATTAAACACCCTGCAAGGCTACACTTCAAAGTTTTTATTTTTGAAACTTTTTACCCTTTTCATATGGTACAAATAAGAATTTCAATACTGTCTGAAAACGTATAACTCATCTTAGCCAACAACAATTGTTTTCAACAAACCACTAGTTCTTATAGTATAAATAATAATATAATATAACTCCAGGAATGAAAACAGTCATTATGTAAATTGATTCAGCACCCAATTATCTTAGGGACAAAATTGAACAACTTTGCTGCTGCTTAAAACTGGAATGAATAATAGTGTTCCTTTTGTGGTTTGGTCTGTAATAGGATTCCAAAAAAGAACTCTGTAGTTTGCTCCTAAAATCCCCAGCATTAAGTTTTTATCCATGGAAATCTATTTTGCAGTTTAATGATAGCACTCTGGTCAGACTTTTCATATTTACCTTATTATCCACTACATTTTCTTTATGCGAGCTGCCTAATAAAACCAGGAGGGTTTTTTTCTCTCTTTGCTGCAGATCCCTAAATAATTGGGTGCAAACATGAGCAAATGGGAGCTCCTTTTGTGGTCGCTGGCCTTTGATGGGACAGGTGTCTTTGAATGTGATCAAATATTAGGAAGCTGGCTATGACTTCCACACCTTAAGATATCTACAAAGACGTGTTTCATGTTTTTACAGTTTTAGGTAATATATTCACTTTATGTGTTTAGGTGACTTTGCAGAGCTTTTTACTTTTGAAAACCCAGACAATTTACAATTTAAATTTAGAATAAAGCTCCAATATGGTGCTTGAAATGGTATGGTATTCAGATGTGATAAATATTGAC